AAGAGGGCGGCTATCCAGGGTTTGGGATATGCATAGTGAATGATACGCGGGCCGGTAGGATCGAACAGTCTCGGAATGTTTGTTGTTGTTGTTGTTGAACATTATTACTTCTAAAGAATAATTATTGTTGGGGCCCCTGGTGCATGGCCCCCCCGCCGCGCCTAGGCCGCAGCCACATTTTCATCATTTTCGTGAGGAAGTCTCAGGTGAAACGATGTCATCCAGATCCGGTTGTGTTGTTACGATCGGTTTTCCCTTGCAAAAAATATGCGAAAGTGGACATTTCTTGTTCTAACATAACCAAACTTCAAGAATCCCTTGCAAAAAATAAGGTAAAGTGGACATTCGCGCGCGCAAGACGAAATCCTTCCAAAACCTTAGTTGTCGTAGCGACTTTAACATAAAAACATCAAAAAACCAATGGTTTTTCAACAACGAAATGTCACAATTTCATCCCGCGCGCTCTTGCGGATTCGTAGGAAACCCAACACTTTTTAAACATTTCTGTCAAACGGGCTTTTGCGAGCAACTTTTTCGAACTTCTGCAACAACGGTTGCGCACCTGCCAGGGCCATCATCCCTGTCAAATAATACCATGCGGGACACATTCGTTTTTTCTTCGCGCGCGCACGCCGTCGTCGTCGGCCGCGGGGCCCTGAATAGTAGCCACGGTCGTCCGCATGCCACGAAGTGAAGTGTCCGAACGTCATAGGGCGGGAAGCTGGGTGTGGGTGGTGGCGAAGAGTCGTTTGGAAATTTGGTAGAGCTTGAACCGGCCCCCCCACAAAGTGGGGGTATTGCCCGCCTCCTATGAAAACCCTGGCACTGGTGAGAACGGAGTGTCCCCACGTGCTAGTAATTGTTGTTGTTGTTGTTGTTGTTGTTGTTGTTGTTGTTGTTGTTGTTGTTGTTGTTGTTGTGCTCGCATTTCTAAGGACAGGTTTTTGTTGGTCCCCCCATCCACGGTGACATTCTTTTCGATTAAAATGCTCCTCCTGGGGCTCGCGTTCTTACAAAAGGAGGCGAGGTGTCACCAAACTGGGTTTTTGCCCCCCGGTCTACAACAACAGCGGTCACAATTTATTACCAAATCGCGCTTTCGCGCGGGATTTTCTTACAGTTCTGCAGAATCGCGCTCTCGCGCGGGACCTCTCCTCATTTTATTCAGACGCCCTCGAGACTCTGGAATCACGCTCTCGCTGAGGATTTCCTCGCAATTTAATCAATCGCTTCGCTCATTCCGCCGGCCCATGTTGCATGATCGCTACTGCTTCGCTGTGGGCCCGGGGCCATTGTGGCGCCGCCGAGGAGGAGGAAAATGAGGATGGGGAAGGGGAGGGGAGGAGGAGGAGAGGATGATAAGGAAAGGAGGAGGATGAATATACATAGGAGGAGCAGGAGGAAAAGGAAGAGGAGGAGGAGGAGGAGGAGGAGGAGGAGGAGGAAGAGGAGGAGGAGGAGGAGGAAGAGGAGGAGGAGGAGGAGGAGGAGGAGGAGGAGGAGGAGGAGGAGGAGGAGGAGGAGGAGGAAGGAGCCTCTCGTTGGCATCTTGTGTTGCTCTTGGGGCCAAACAGGGTCGTCGTCAAGATGCTTCTTTGGGAGGCCTCTCGGGGTCTTTTGAGAAGCCGTTCGGGGGCGCCTGGGAAGAATTTTTGAACTTCTGGGGCCTCTTGGGGCCTCTTTTGGGCTCCCTGGGGGCCTGCTGGGGCCTCTTGAGGGCCTCTTGGCGGTATCTTGGGGCCTTTTGGGGGCCTCTTGGGGGCCTCTCGGGGCCTCCTGGGGCCCTCTTGGGGCGGAAGGCTCGAGGTTTCGGTTCGTGGTCCCCCTCTTGGGCCCCTCTTTGGGCCGTCGTGGGGCCGTCTTGGGCCGTCTCGGGCGCCTCTTGGGCCGTCTCGGGGCCCTCTTGGGCCCTCTTGGGGCCCTCTTGGAAGCCCCTTGGCCCGTCTTGGGGCGCTCTTGGGGGCCTCTTGGGTCGTCTTGGAGGTTTATTTCGGAATCGCGCTGTCGCTCGAGACTTCCTCGCGATTCATGCAGGACGCACGCTTCAGCAACCCGCGTGCTCGACCTGGCCGCCTGGGCCCGCCTTCTCGACCCGCCTGTTAGGCTCTACCCGCCCGATCTGCCCGTCTGGTTCTGCCACGTGTTTTCTGCTCCGACCCCCCTCCTGCACCTCTCTCTCGTGCTGCATCCTCCTCCCTCTCTTGTCCCTTCCTTCCTTCCGTCCTCTTTTCCCTTGCCTTAGGGGCTGCACGAAATACACGTTGCAGGTGCGAAAGATATAGCCCCAAGGGGGTACGATACGATCGAAGACGAAGAGGCGGGTATCGAGGTTTGTGGTATACATGTTGAAAGACACGCGAGCAGATAAGAGCGAACAGTCTTGATTTGATTGTTGCTGCGGTTGGTGATGACGGCGGGGATGATGATGATTATGATGATGAGGATGATGATGAGGAGGAGGAGGAAGAGGAGGAGGAGGAGGAGGAGGAGGAGGAGGATGAGGAGGACAGGAGCAGGAGGAGGAGGAAAAGGGGGAGGAGGAGGAAGAGGAGGAGGAGGAGGAGGAGGAGGAGGAGGAGGAGGAGGAGGAGGAGGAGGAGGAGAGGAGGAGGAGGAGGAGGAGAGAGGAGGAGGAGAGGGAGGAGGAGGAGGAAGAGGAGGAGGAGGGAAAGGTCAGCCCTGCCTGTGGCACGCTTTGGTGCTCGCTGAGTCGCCGGCAGACCGTGGGCGGTTGTTTTTACAGTGAGAAAAAGACCGCGCCCTGTCTGCTTGGGGGCCCCTCGGCTTGACAGACTGTCGGCATGCGCTGGAAAGAAGAGGGGAGGAGGAGGAGGAGGAGGAGGAGGAGGAGGAGGAGGAGGAGGAGGAGGAGGAGGAGGAGGAGGAGGAGGAAGAGGGGGAGGAGGAGGAGGGGGAGGGGGAGGAGGACGCATACTTATAATAATACGATGGATAATACTAAAAGTAGTAGTAGTAGTAGTAGTAGTAGTAGTAGTAGTAGTAGTATTAGTAGTAGTAGTAGTAGCAGTAGTAGTAGTCGTAGTAGTAGTAGTAGTAGTAGTAGTAGTAGTAGTAGTAATCGTAGTAGTAGTAATAAGAAGAATATGAATACGAGTAATAAGAATAATAAGACTATCGATAATAATAATCACAAGCCTCATAAGACGAATAATACTATTATTATTCAGAAGAAGAATACGAACACTAGTAATCCGAATACTGATAATACAATTAAGAAGACGAAACAGAACCATACTTATAATGATGATACTACTACTCCTACTACTAATAATAGAAATACTAATACTATTAATCATATTAATACGAATACTAACAATACTACTAATACAAATTATACAAGATATATTAATATGAATAACGATAATCATAGTATTACTATTTCTACTACGAATGATAATACTACCAATGGTAATGATAATACTGATAATGCAATTCATGATTCGAATACGATGAAGAAGGCAACTAATAATGATATCAGTAATGATATTATGAATACCAATACTAATGTTAATAGCACTAATCATAGTACTACCAAGATGATAATGATGATACAAATTTTGATCATACTATTACTGATCATAATGCTAACACTAATGATAATGATCATAACAATAAGCATGCTAATAATGATTATGTGAAGAATACGAATAAGAAGGCAATGGTACGAGTAGTACTATTACTAGTAATACCAGCCGTAGCAATGACAACACTAATACCACTAATACTAGTACTAACAATACTGACAAGGATGATGATACGAATAATAGTAATACGAGTAAGAACAAGGCTACTACTATTATTACTACTACTAATAATGATACCAATCATAGTATTGTAGTACAAATAATACTACTACTGATCATACTGCTAATATTAATAACAATAATATACGAATGCCACTCATATTAGAATACTACTCCTAATAATAATCGTACTAATCATACTAATGGTAATTCTCATACTAATAATATTACGATCGATCATCGTGCTAATGATAATAATACTAACAATGAGAATGCGAATGATAATGATACTACTAATGCTAATGCTAATGCTCATGATACTGATAAGGGTACTAATAATCATAATCATAATCATAATCATAATCATATTAATATTCATAATCATAATCATAATCATAATCATAATCATAATCACAATCAAAATCAGAATCATAATCATACTCATAATCGTAATCATAATCATAATCATAAGCATGATCACAATCATAATCACAATCAAAAACATAATCATAATCACAATCATGATCACAGTCATAATCATAATCATAAGGACACTCATAACCAAAACAGTAATACCAGGAGGAGGAGGACATGGGGGAGGAGGAGGAGGAGGAGGAGGAGGAGGAGGAGGAGGAGGAGAGGAGGAGGAGGAGGAGGAGGAGGACGTTGAGGAGGAAGAGGAAGAGGAGGAGGAGGAGGAGGAGGAGGAGGAGAGGAGGAGGAGGAGGAGGAGGAGGAGGAGGAGGAGGAGGAGGAGGAGGAGGAGGAGGAGGAGGAGGAGGAGGAGGAGGAGGAGGAGGAGGAGGAGGAGGAGGAGGAGAGGAGGAGGAGGAGGAGGAGGAGGAGGAGGAGGAGGAGGAGGGAGGAGGAGGAGGAGGAGGAGGAGGAGGAGGAGGAGGAGGAGGAGGAGGAGGAGTAGGAGGAGGAGCAGGAGGAGGAGGGGGGAGGAGGAGGGGGAGGAAGAGGAGGAAGAGGAGGAAGATGAGGAGGAGGAGGCGGAGGAGGAGGAGGAGGAGAAGAGGAGGAGGAAAAGGAGGAGGAGGAGAGGAGGAGGAGGAGGAGGAGGAGGAGGAGGAGCAGGAACAGGAGTTGTAGGAGGAGGAGGAGGCGGAGGCGGAGGCGGAGGAGGAGGAGGAGGAGGAGGAGGAGGAGGAGGAGGAGGAGGAGGAGGAGGAAGTGGGCGAGGGGGAAGATGCTCCTCGCTCCCTCCCGCCCTCCGCGGAGCTGCGCCTGCAGGATCTGCCGACGCCCGACGGAAAGGGCCTCGAGTCCACGCTCGGTCCCTCCGAGCTGATAGAGCTGGTGCGGCGGGTCGTCGTCGCCGTCGCCGAGAAACGCGGAGGAGGAGGAGGAGGAGGCGGAGGGAGGAGGCGGAGGCGGAGGTGGAGGCGGAGGCGGAGGCGGAGGTGGAGGCGGAGGCGGAGGCAGAGGCGGAGGCGGAGGCGGAGGAGGAGGAGGCGGAGGCGGAGGAGGAAGAGGTGGAGGTGGAGGAGGAGGAGGAGGACCAGTGTAATTCCAAGAGTCACCATCGATGTTGGCATAAACCCTCCCCCCAAACTCCCTCTTCACAGGCCCCTGCAACTGTTCATTTCCACAGAGGGATGTGCCTCGTTCGAAGGCAATCGTTTGAAGACTCTGAAGCATGCCAAAACATTGTTCGCCGGATTCTAACGCCACGGATAAACATGATTGTTACGTCTTGACGATCTTGAATCGGGCCAGAATGCGAATCCTGGGACCTAACTCCGAAAATTATCGTCACTGTTGCGCCCTCGTAATCGTGAGTCCTTCCAAAACACCGTGTCTGGTACGTCGATCATGGGAATCTGTGAAACTTTTGTAGTTTGTTCAAACGAGTGTGCGCGGCGCTAAAGCGTCAGCCACATGTTTAAAACCACTAAAGCCACCCGCCCTCAATCCGTGAAGCCCTTGCAATTTTTTGAAGAAGGAATGCGCGCGGCGCTAGGGCGAGAGCCACATTTTGAAAACTACCCGCCCTCCAGTGGAACTCTTGCAAGATTTAAAAGCGAATGTGCGTGGCGCCAAGGGGAGAGCCACATTTTGAAAATTTCCCGGCCTCCATCTGTGAAGCTGTTGCCAGTTCTTTGCCAGTTCTCAGGTCATAAATGGTGAGGAAGTCTCAGGCGAAACGCCCGGCCCGCGGCCTCGGGGTGCGACAGGGAATTATTATTGGTAGGGAAAATGGAATGGAGGAGGAGGAGGAGGAGGAGAAGGAGGAGGAGGAGGAGGAGGAGGACCACTGTAAACCCAAGAGTCACCTACGATGTTGGAATAAACCCTCCCCCGAGCTCCCTCTTCATAGGTCCCTTACATCGGTTCACTTCCATAGAGGGACCTGCCTCGTTAGAAGGCAGCCGTTTGACCCTCAAGCGTGCAAAACAATTCTCGGTATTCTAACGCCATGGATGAACCTGACTGTTGCGTTTTTACGATCCTGAATTGCGCCAGAACGCCACTCCTGGGACCTAACTCCGCGAATCATCGTAACTGTTGCACCCTCGTAATCGTAAGTCCTTCTAAAACACCATATCTGGTACGTCGATCGTGGGAATCCGTGAAGCTCTTGCAATTTTGTATCAAGACTGTGCGCGGCGGTACGACGATAGCCACATGTTGAAAAGGAACCGCCCTGGATCCGTGAAGCCCTTGCACATGTGTAAAAAGAATGTGCGCGGCGCCAAGGTGAGAGCCACATTTTGAGAACGACCCTCCCTCAATCCGTGAGGCTCTTGTGAATTGTTGAAGAGGAATGTGCGCGGCGCTAAGGCGAGAGCCACATTTCGAAAACGACCCTCCCTCAATCCGTGGAACTCTTGCAAGTTCTTAAAACGAATGTGCGCGGCGCTAAGGCGAGAGCCACATTTTGAAAACGACCCGCCCTCAATCCGTGAAGCCGTTGCAATTTTTTGAAAAAAGAATGTGTGCGGCGCTATGGCGAGAGCCACATTTTCAAAACGACCCGCCTTCAATTGGTGGAGCGTTCAAAACTTTAAAACGAGTGTGTGCGGCGCCAAGGCGAAAACCACATTTTGAAAACTACCCGCCCTCCATCTGTTCAGCTGTTATTACTTTTTAAGCTTCGGATTCATACATGGTGAGGAAGTCTCAGGCGAAACGCCTGGCCCGCCCTAAAAACTGGCTTCAGGGTGCGACAGGGAGGAGTTATTTATAAGGAGAAGGAACTGATTGAGGAGGAGGAGGAGGAGGAGGAGGAGGAGGAGGAGGAGGAGGAGGAGGAGGAGGAGGAGGAGAAGGAGGAGGAGGAGGAGGAGGAGGACGAGGAGGAGGAGGAGGAAAATGATGCGGAGTAGTGGTAGTAGGAGTAGGACCCCGCCGCCCCGTCTCCAAGCCTTTCCACCTGCACAGTCTTCAAGACGGCTGTACAGGCCCCCAGATCGCCACAAGACGCTCCCAGACGCCCCCAGGAGGACCCCAAAACGGTTCGAGACGGCCCCAGGACGGCTCCATGGGCGCCCGAGGCCCAAGAAACCCAAGACAGCCCCAAGAGCGCCCAATATCGGCCCAAGATGACCCCAAGACGGCCCCAAGATGGTCCGAGACGGCCCCACATCGCCCCAAGACTGCCCAAGAGGCACTCAAGACGGCCCAAGAGGGCCCCGAGAGACCCCCCAGGAGGACCCCAGAAGACCTCGGATCCTTCTAGCTTTGGGAGCGTCGAACTTCAGCGTCGTCTTGGGGGCTTCTTGGACCCTCCGGAAACCATCTCAGGGAAGTGGGCACAGCGTGCTGGCCCGCCCCCACTGTGCATCCTGACCTCTGGCGGAGCCACCCTCCCCCTCCTCCTCCTCCTCTTCCCCTTCCCCTTTGTTTTTCCTCTGAGCAGGCATGTGCGAGAAAGCGAGAAGTGGCAGTGGGAGCTGCCGTCGGCGGGGGAAGCAACGCAAGACGGATCCCGGCAGGCGTCCAGCGACCACCCGGCATGCATGCCCTGCCCGCGGCAGATTGCAGGGCTCGCTGAGTCGTTGGCGGATTGTTGGAGGACCCACCCCAGACTCCGAAGACGAGTGGCCTGAGCACCGCCGCTGACGCCGGCTCCCAACAGAAATACAGAGTCTTGGACGCTTTCCCCCGTCAGCTGGAGCAAGCCCGCGGCGGCTGCAACCGTTGGCGGGACGCGTTCGGAAGACAAAAGGAGGATGATGATGAGGAGGAGGGGAAGGCAGGCGAAAGGCAAGGCAAGTGGAAGAGGAGGACGTGGAGGAGGAACAGGATGATGAGGATGCGGATGAGGATGCGGATGAGGATGATGATGACGATGATGGTGATGATGGTGATGGTGGTGGTGGTGATGATGGTGGTTTAGATGATGGTGATGATGACGATACTGATAGTGGTGATGATCATGATTATGATGATGGTGGTGAAGCTGATGATGTTGATTGTGGTGCTGCTGATTATGGTGATGGTTTTGTTGATGGTGATGTTGATGATGGGGATTGTGATGTAGATGATGGTGCTGCTGCTGCTGCAGCTGTCGCTGATGATGGTGGTGATGATGATGACGATGAGGATGCTGTTGATGATGCCATGATGATGACGTTGGTGATGCTGATGATGCTGATGATGATAAGGATGATGATGACGATGAGGAGGAGGAGGAGGAGAATGAGGATGAGGAAGAGGAGGAGGAGGAGGAGGAGGAGGAGGAGGGGGAGGGGAGTAGGACGAGTAGGAGGGGGAGGAGGTGGAGGAGGAGGTGGAGGAGGTGGAGGAGGAGGAGGAGGAGGAGGAGGAGGAGGGAGGAGGAGGAGGTGGAAGGGGCATGAGTAATGGGGCCGATGACGGCGACGGGCGAGGGGTGAGGTGCTCCAGAGGGTCGTGGTTGCGCTCTGCGACCTGGCGATGTCGTGCCGGCGAAGCCCGGTGCCGCAGAAGTGGAGCGCGGGGGGTTGCTGCCGCGGCTGCTGCTGCTCCTGTCGAGGAGGAGGAGGGGGGGGGTGGACGAGGAGGAGGAGGAGGAGGAGCAGGAGGAGGAGGAAGAGGAGGTGAAGGAGGAAGAGGAGGAAGATGAAAAAGAGGGTGATGATGATATGATGATGATGATGATGATGATGATGATGATGATGATGATGATGATGATGATGATGATGATGATGATGATGATGATGATGATGATGATGATGATGATGCTGATGATGATGATGATAATGATGATGATGATGATGATGATGATGATAATGATGATGATGATGATGATGATGATGATGATGAGGAGGAGGAGGAGGAGGAGGACCAGGAATAATGATATAATATCAACATGGGAACGAATACTAATACGAATACGAAGAATACCAATAATGCGAATAAGGGAAATCAGAGGAGCACCTCATATGTAGCACCCCGCAATTGCGGATAAGAGTGAGGGGGCGGGCGCGGGCGACGCGGGCGTCGTCGAGCCGGCGGACCTCGTGGCCCCCACCTTCCCTGTCGATGGCGCTCTCCTCCTCCTCCTCCTCCTCCTCCTCCTCCCTCCTCCTCCTCCTCCTCCTCTCCCCTCTTCCTCGTCCTCGTCGTCGTCATCGTCATCCTCCTCCTCCACCTCGTCCTCCTCCTCCTCTTCTTCCTCGTCCTCCCTCTCCCCCCCTCGTCCTTCCATCATCGTCCTCCCATTGTCGTCCACCCCCTCATCGGCCTCCATCATCGTCCTCCCATTGTCGTCCATCATCATCTCCTCCTCCCCCTCCCCCCGTCCTCCCCCTCCTCGTCCTCCTCTCCCCCTCCTCCCCCGTCCTCCCCCCTCCTCCTCCTCCTCCTCCTCCTCCTCTCCTCCCGTAGCCATTTTGGCTCAAGTTTGAAACGCTTCCCTGGCGCTTCGAACTTGGTCGCTGCCGAGGGGACGGCTCAGAGCGATCTTCCGGCGAGGGCAGGCCTCGCGGCACGAGAGCTTCAGTGCCCGTGCCTTTTTCCGCATTTTACGACACTCAATACGTCTTCTCCTGCTGGATCGCCCCAGCAGATCACCGCCATGGGAAGTGAGGAGCTCAATCAGGCCATCCAGTCGGGCATTGCTGCTGCCATGGCCTCTGCAACGGAAGCCATCGTCCAACAGGTCACGGCACATGTCTCAGGCGAGCTCAACAAGAAGTTCGAGACCGTCAACAACTCCCTCCTCCTGCACCAGAATACCATCCAAGCCCAGCAGACGGCCATGACCCAGCTCGTCGACCGCGTCAACTTCCTCACCAAGCAATGCGCTGACAACGACACCAGTATCAAGCGCATAGCCAGCTCATCATCCTCGACGGCATCTTCCAGCGGTGGGGCCACCTCTGGCACCGCGGGCTTCGCGAGGCACATCCCCTCGGGCGCCAAGAAGCAGCGCGGCTTTGACGCAGTGCCTGGCGGCGACTCGCTACTCAAGTTTGTTGGCACCTTCCCTCGGCCTGTTCTGGACTCTGTCAGACGCCAGCATTGGGACCAGCTCGTGCAGCTCTTCCCACACCTCCTATCGGTTGGTGCCACCCCCGTCTTCCACTCCATCGCGCAGACCTACGCAGTCAAGTTCGAGAGAGAGCATGCAGCCAGAGAATTCCAGCGCATGGCAAACCTCCAGGGCATGACGTGGACTGATCCCCGCGACGGCAACATCCATCCCTTGCGTGTCAAGTCCGACCTCCCGCTCGACGTCAGGAACAGGAAGAGGGCCTTTCACCACCTGTGGAACCCTGTCCGCTCCCTTCTCATGCTCTCACCACATTGGCAGGAGGGCAAATGTCAGCTGGGAGCTGATGGCTTCAAGGGAGTCCTCCGTTTGCGCACCGAGAACGACGTCTGGGAACTTGTCTCGTCGAAGCCAGTGACCCAGAGGAACGGCGAGGACTGCTATCAATTCGAACCACACCTCAGCGATCTGGAAGCCTGGGGCATCTCCGCAGAGCAGATCAGTGCCATCATCAACAAAGCGCACGCCACTGCCCAGGAAGCGGGTGGCGACGCTACCATGGGCTAGGATGAGGACTCCAGGACAACATCAATTTTCACTCACGGAGCTTCTTCGACGTTGTTTGCTGTAAGCATTGCTGGGGGCAGTCATGCACTGGGGAGCAGCAACACCAACGCCGAGAACTCATCGTCTGCGACAGGCTCCTCTCCACGCTCGGCCTCCTCCTCCTGGACATCGATGGCTTCTCGCGCCAGTGCTTCACCGACCTCTTCGTCGACGGCACCTGCGTGCTCTCCTGAGGCCGCCGTCTCGTTGCCCAGCCTCCCCTCTCTTGCTCGTGTGCACAGGCGCAGCCCTGTGGTGGGGCCCTCGGCTGCTAGGCCCCCTGTGCGCCCTCCTGCCCCTCCGTCTTCCCGTCTTTTTCTGCCTTCCTCCTCCATCCCCATCACCATCTGTAGTTGGAATGCCCAAACATTGTTCTGTTCCCATCTCACAGATAGTCGGCGAAGTCAGTGTAAATACCGCTCCCTCCAATCCCTCCTGAGACGGCATTCGATTCTGTGTATCCAGGAAACCCATGGAAATAGTGCTGATGCAGCCCTCCTCCAGCGTGATCTCGGTGGCGTGCTGGTGTTTGGTTCGTTCATGGACAGTGAGATTGCAGGGGGTATCCTGATTGTGGTTAAGGAGACCATCTACTCTTGCTTCACCTCCCACGCCTTCAGTGTCGTCGAGCGGGGCCGCGTTGGAGTACTCACCCTCTCCAACCCACGAGAGGTTCTTCAGGTGGCATGCGTGCATGTGGACCCCTCCTGGACGGAGGCCCACACCCGTGCTGTATTCTGGCGACTTCGTGGCTTCCTGACCCCCTCCCCACTCTCCACGTCTTTCATCGTCGGTGACTTTAACTTTATCGAGAACGGTGACGCGCGGTACTACGCCCTATCGGGGCGTGAGACCTTCCAGACATCAAGGCTTGCCTCCCTGTTTGATCAGATCTTCCCGCTGTACTCTGAAGTCTACCAACCTCACTTTACCCATCGTACTAACGTTAACACAAACCCCAGCTATGCAAGATTGGATCGTATCTATACGAGTCTTCCTTGTGCTCTCCTCATCGACTTCAACCCCGTATCCTCTACCGCCTGGCCCATCACGAACCTGTCCAAGCCCTCCGACCACTCCCCCGTCTTTCTCAGCCTCTCCGTTCCTGCTAGCGACGACGCTGACTACGTAGCGATTCCGCCCTGGGTCGCCTGCCACGGTGTTTTCAAGGAAGTCTGTGAAGACATGTTTCAGGTCCAGGACTTCTCTGCCGACCCAACTCAGAGGCTCCTTGAATCAAAGAAAGTTTTTCATTACGCGGCCCGTCGGGTGAAATGGCATGTCCAGCATGTGGGCCCCCAGAACAACGAGCAGAGAGTCCTGATTTGCCTTCGACTCCTTCGATCTGCTAGAGCAGGTCAACATCAGGTGGCCAAGAATTCGATTGCAGCCTACCCTGTGCTCGCTGCCTTCTATTCCGTGCCCACCGAGAGTTGGATCGACTGGAACGGGTTCCACCGGCACCCCGCCAGCCTCCAGAGAGCCATCATGGACGCTCGCACCCAAGACGTACTACGCAGTTCGGACCCCCCCGAAGTTCAGGCTGCCATCCTTTTCCGCATCCAGCGCCTTGCCGCCGCATGGAGATCCCAGAGGCCGAAAATCTTCCTGGCGGGTTTGCGAACTGCGGAAGGTCATACCATCTCCGACCCAACTCTCATGGCCAACTTACTGGCAAAGCATTGGGGATCAGTTTTCGCTGTCGAGACTGAGGCCCAGGTGAGCGCAGAGGCCGCTGACTTTTTCCTCGCGCAGGTGGAGCCGCTAGATGAGCAGGAGGACCAGTTCGTCTCCTCATCACACCAGCGTGTCGACTGGATCGCGGGCAAAGATCAGATGCTCAGTCTCCTCGCCAAAAAGAAAGACACGGCCCCTGGTCCTGACGGGACCCCCTACTCGGCCTGGCGCATGGCCCCCGATCTCGCCCACCAGTTTCTGTATGACGGCTTCCTCTGCCTGGTGAATGAGCATCGTGTAAGTCAGGAATTTAACTACTGCCGTGCTGCCTTCCCGCCCAAGGGTGACCTAAAGTCCAAAGGTGCTGAAATTCGTACCCCCTGTCAAACCCGCATGCTCTCGCTCTCGAACTCAGATAACAAGATCTACTCGTCCTTGCTTGCCCACCCGCTTAACTCTCTCGCGGCTGATCGAGTTCAGGCCTGTCAGAGAGGATTCGTGAGGGGTCGTTCTATGCTAGATAACATTCTTGAGATGGACTCATCGTTATTCACCTGGTCTCACACCTTGGGCATTAAGGAGGCGGCGGCCTGCCTCTTTGATTTCAAGAACGCGTTCCCGAGTGTTTTCCACAGGTGGATCTTCGCCGTGCTCAGGAAGATGAGGGTACCTACCAAAATCGTCGGGGCAATCATCACGCTTTACTCCCAGGTTTGGACGTACATTGCGGTGGGGAACTCGTTTCCTTCGGGCTTCTGGGCCCACAGGGGGATGAAGCAGGGATGCCCCCTCTCGGGAGTCCTGTTCGCGCTGATCCTGGATCCTGTTCTGAAGGCTACCCTCATCCAGAAGAGCTATCACGACCTATCGCTGAGCGCTTTTGCTGATGATCTTGGTCTGGTAGCACGCAACCTGTATGTGGTGCTCCCGATCATCACCGCTTTGCTCACCCGAGCCACAACGGCCACTGGTCTGGCGCTCAATTTTTCGAAGTGCCACATCATCGTTCCTCGTCAGTTTAATGAAGCAGATGTCCGCAGGCTGTTCGGCGACCAGGGCCTCGATGTGGGCCCCTTCCAGATCTCTCAATGTGCAAAATACCTTGGTGTCTTCCTTGGGCTGGGTGGGCGGAATATGTCCTGGAGGGCCCCGCTGGCAAAATTGAGGGAACGGACCCACCTCGTCAAGAATATGGGCCTCAGCTTTATT